GGTTTATAATCACTTCTGTGGCAATTCCAGGACTGCTGCTGAAAAAGAAGACCTGCCTGCTTGCTCTGGCAGTGATTCTGATCAGGGCACCCCTAGATTGCCTTGAGATCTTTCCGAGGATGCCATGGGATGTCACGCAGTGTTACCACTGTTAGGCATACAAACATGATTCACAAGATAAAGTTAGAGATTTCAAATAGCAATTCATAGTGTTAAAAATACTCTGACCTGCTGAGGCCTTTCTGCATTCTTTGCTACAGAAGAATTGCCTTATTATTTTGCTATATTAAAAAAAGTGAAAACTAAGAGCTGGCATTTTCTGAGGGGTTTCTTGAATCTAAAAAAATTGAGAGTGATTGCAGTAGGACAATATCTACTACTCTTAGGAGCACATCCAGGTTTGACAGTATCCCTGGATCAGAAAGTTACTATTATACTTTGCTCCATATTTTTTTTTGCAGGGAAAGTGATTCACGTGGAGTAGAGGCGAGCTAGTGAGGCTGTTTCTTAGCAGTTGTCTTGAGATTGCTGTGGAAGATATGTGGACTTAGCATCTGTATTCACCTAAGAGACACAGTATCCTTTTTATAAGTTACTTGAGCCAGATACGCCAACTAGCATATACATGCCAACTGACTTGACATAGTTCAGAAAGAGTTAAATGAACTACAAGGGCTTCAATTCTACCTGACCCTATGGAAGGCTTGGTTAGAGGAATGATGTCTGTATTCTTTCTAACTCTGTGTATTCTAATATTATAAAAGCCTTAATTTGTCTGTCTGTCTCTCCATAATGCTGACAAACAGCCAATCAGATTGCAAAGAAGCATTTGGACAGGTAGCAGCGCACTGCCATGATGGAGGGGACACAGCACTGCTGGTCTCGCCTCCCCCCCGCCCTGCTCTCTGCAGGTGGTGACAATGGGGGCGGGGGGCGGGTGAAGCCAGCTTCTTGGAAATGACAGCAGTGGTGCTGCGGGCAGGGAGTGGGGTTGAGATGCTGTGAGGGGCGAGGCCACTGGCGCCGGACTCGGCCTGCCCCTCTCGCCTTCCGTCATCACCACCTACAGTGGCGGGAGGAGCAGGCGCGCCATGGCAGCAGCGGTGGTGGTGGGGGCAGGGAAGGAGTGGGCCTTGGCTCAGGCCAACGCAGGGCGGGGGAGCAAGCCCGAGTGGGGGTAGCATGGGGCTCCATCCCCACCTGCTCCCCACCCCCCAGTCATTCTTGATGGGTAATTAGCTAGTTGTGTTATAAGGGCCTAATCTTGAGAGGGCTGGGTGTTCTTAGCATCCTCGTTTGTCTGTGACTTCAGATATAAATTCTGTGTGAAACTTGGCTAGAGGGTGTTTAGCACCTTGCAGGATCAGGCCTTTAATTATTTAAGGTAACTTTAGGGTTACTATATTTCCAGTTTCATAAAAGAGGACATCTGTTGTGGGGAGGGTTATGATATGTTGGTGCTCTGCCCCTGCTCATGCCATTGCCTGTCATTCCCAGGCCACAGCCCCAGCAGCTCTGCTGCTGCCTCTCACTCCCAACCTGCAGACTCCTGGCTCTGATAGTGCCCCTCACTCCTGACCCACAGTAACCTGCCCCCCTGGGCCATGCTGGTGCTCCTTATTCCTGATCTGCAGCCCCCTGGCACTGCCAGTGCCCCACACTCCTGACCCACAGTTCCTCCCCAGCCCTCACTCTCAACCTGCTGCCCCCAAAGGGCCCTCTGCCCCCTTTTCCCACTGAAGGGGTAGGCGCCTCCCATCCCCCTGTCCTGCTGCAGCCCCAGTGCCCGCACAGCTTTCCCCCAGCAGCCAGGAACTTCTGGGAAAAACTTTGATGCTGAGCAGACCAAGACCCCGGACATTTGGTCATATTTAAAAAAAATGCCCAGACAGAGACCAGTGGACTTAAAAAGAGGACATGTCCAGGCATGTGATAACCCTAGCATTACTTGTTAAATGCACAAAACGCCTGATCCCTTGTTTCATCCAAAACCTGTTCTTTTTGTCCAAATCCTCTCCACTAAAGCATTTTAAAACAAAATTAAGAAAACCAAGTTGTATGCTTTCAAATAGTCTCATCAAAATGCCATTGTGTCTCATTTAAAAAAACATATCCTTTCACTGCTGAATTATTAGTAAAGGAAAATTTACTATTGTTGTCTATTGTTCCTAATGAAAATGAAGCATTTACTGAAATGAATAGATTATTAAATATCACAAGGTATAGCTTTATATCACTTGGTCTTATACAGTATATAAAAGAGGTAAATAAAAAATCTTCATAGACATCTCAGAAAGAAAATTTAATATTAAGGTAACTTTAAAATATTTTTATTATTTTCTCTTGTGAATTGGCTTTCCTTCTCATTAATTTCCATCTTTATTTAAAGATGTAGAACAATCCTGATGAAATGAAATAAAAAGAAACATTTCAAGGAAGATCAGGCCAGGTCTTTAGACCCAATGTGCTAGTCCAGTTCTCACTACTGATATGACCTTGGTATAAAGCTTTGTATGTGGATTTTATTGTTGTTGGATTTCAGTCTAATGCAGTTGTGGTTGGTTTGCTAGCATTTTCCCTTTAATTTTCCTGTTCTAACTCCTCTTTAAAAAAGTAGACCAAAAGAATTTCATAATGGGAGTAGGCAGCCAAATGAAGCTTACTAGTATGGGGAGCTGCTCAAAATTTTTCTTAATTCCATGTATGGATTGCACATTACTGGGCAATGCAAAAACAGAATGTTATAAAAATTCTCACTAGTGAATAGTTCCAAAATGAGACAGGACCACCAAAAAGATAGCAACCAAACTGTTTTTTGAGGTTACTTCCAAATATGCATAAAATTAGTGGATAAGATTTTTCTTTTTAAGCTCTGCAATTTCTATTCTGTATTACTTTGAAACCTATAACTCCTATTCCTCATGACCTGAGCCCCTGGATGCAGAGTGTTTTGAGTGCAGGAAAATGCTGTGTCTCACGATGCAGCATTGCTGTCTCAAATACTTTGAACTTTAATGCAGCCAGCCACTGTCAATGTATTTATTTGCCCTCTTAAAAGCTGTGCCTTTATTGCTTTCTCTAGCATTCTATTACTTTAAAAAATCTTGATTACAGGGCTATATATTAATAATTTTTATGGTTTAAGATGCAGATTTTGTGTGCAACTCCAAAGCACAATATTAATTACATGCAATGTAATTAATTATTTGCTATGTGTTGGCTTTTATTTGGCTGTGTATCTTACCACACTATTCAGAGCAAAGGATGTTTGTTATTACTGGCAGTAGGACAGCTGCTGAAAATAATCTGACTCTTGATGTCCAGAGACTGACTGCTGTATATGCCTGTTTGGTCTATGGATTATTATAATTTGAATTATGACTTCAGATATACCTGAACATTTTGCCTATTCCTAACTTCACTGCCATTTTACATTGTATTTATAGGAACAGTATATCTCCTGTAATTTGCTGTTAACAGTATCATGCCAAAAATATCTTCTAAACATAGAACTGTTAGTGTAATAGGGGCGTGTTCTTTCTACATTTGGAGAGGTGAATTGAACACTTACCTGATTTTATGTGGGTGGATACGTGGTTTAAAATGGGTGTTGATGGGACAAGTCACTGACAGCACATCATCTTTTTTGTCTTGGATTTATGGACTATTGCTCTTATAACTTAAATTAATCTGCATATGCAAGTTTGTCTTGTGGGTGGGGAGGAAATGAAGGACAAATTGAGATGGTTATAGAGAATCTGTTCCAAGACCTTCTGCTAAATGATTTCTGACAGAAGTGCTGCAGTTCCTTCAAGTGAAAAATTAACAAGAAGCTGTGCTTTGCATTTTAATATGCATAGTAAGATAATTGTATTTGCATAAACTTAAGGTAGGCCTGTGAATTTTTTTCTGTGTATATCAGAGCTGGATATTAAGAACCAAGTACTAAACATTAATAGCAGTTTTATGGCGCGTTATATGTTACGGAACCCCTGAATTCTTTCCATGCAGGAGAGGTGATAATGACCCTCCTGCCTTTAGGTAGACCTTGATCTCAGTAATCGTGTTCTTTTCTTCTGCTAATTGTGTGTCTGCTACCCCTCCCCTCTGCTGTTTTTTCTCTATGCTGTGCCTGGCTTCCTGTGATCAGAGATGTGAGGAAGAATGTCTTGCATTTAAAAGTTTGTCTACCTTTATCCCAACTATATAGTTGGTCCAATAAAAGATATCACTCTAAGAAATTCTTGCCTCTCATGGGTACAGTATCACTTTTACACTACTCTTCACTTCAGATATTTTGCCTGTTTTAAAAAGGAAATGTGCAGATGAACGGACTAGTATTTAGTCATTCATACTTTGCATATAATATGTTAATGTTTGATTGTTATAGCAAGATTACTGGCAGTAGGACAGCATCTGCTAGCAAATGGGACTTTCTCAGTGCAAAGTACAGATACAGAGAGCTTCAGGAATATGTAAAAGCTTTATGTCTGAGCATGTACCTGCTGATAGGACCTTAAAATCTGAATTTTAAATATAACTTCTCAATAAACCCAGTTCTGTGTTAAGCAGTAAGTAAAAAAATTGGCTCCTGACCCATATATAATAATACTCTGCTTGCACCTAAATGAATGGGTCTGTGTATTTCTTGTAGCAAAATATTATGAAATATTGGCAATACCCTTCAATATATTGAATAGTAAACACTGTGCTTTCCTTTTGAGTTTTTCCTTCTCTTTTCTTCCCTCTTATGTGTATTTTTTATCTGCTTTTGTTTGTCTGAAAAATGTGGACTTTTCTGTTTTCTTGCGGACTAGAGTGCTAATCTTGTGAAGTAATAATCCCCATGAGCTTCCCTTATAAACCACAGAAGTTGATCAAGTGCCAGGGTAGCAGACACTTTCTACAGTACGTTTTCCGCCCCTCTAGTAACCGTTTTGACCAATACTTTTTGTATCTTTTTTTTTCCAGGGGTCAACAACCTTTTTACTAACAGCAGGCTACAGTCAGGGGCAGATCCAGAGGGGAAGCAGTGGTGCAGGCACACCTTCCCATCCCCTTTTCAACCATGCCCTTAGAGCAGCAGTCACAGACTTGTCAAAGAAGGTAAGCATTCCCCCCACCTCCTCCCTTCCCCTACATGCTCCTCTCCCCTCTCTTTCTCCCTCCCCTCCTGTTCCGCCCCCTCCCCAGCCTGCCACTAGGAGGGAGTGGGTAGCTTGCCCACTCCAACTGGGCTGCATGGGGGATGTCCAGCCTGGGAGCAAAGTCCCTGGTGAATGGACTCCCAGTGCAGCCCAACTAGAGCACAACAACTCCTCTCACCCCCAGGATAGCACCTGGCAGTGACAGATGGGAGGGGAAAGGGTAGAGAGAAGAGGGGAAGGGAATGCTTACCTTTATTAGGACTTAAGTTCTCATCTGATGCTCTTGCAGCCCTGTCTGCTTGCCTTGGTTGGGGGGGAGGGGAACAGGGGAAGGATGCTGAGAACAGGGGGAAAGGGGGTGCAGCCATCCCTGCGGCACTGGTTGCTGTAACTGCACGCCCCTTTGTAAAATCCTCAGTCTGTTTCTGGCTGAAGTAACACAGCTTGGCCCTTCTCAGGATGGAGGTGGTAGTTGATAGAGGTAGTGGGCTGGATGTGCAGTTGACTGATGCAACCATTAGATAGCGCATTCTTGCACAAACATCCTTGGTGGGGAAAAATAGCTCTTCATGGGCTGGACCCAAGCCACAAACCATAGGTTGCTGACCCTTGCCTTTTTTCATTTTTTTGTTTAAATTGGTTTCTCTTCTACTTATCTCTTCTTCTGTATCTTTTTTTTCCCATTTCCTTTTACTTCCTGTCCACGTCTCGTATGTCTCTGAGAGCATACAAGGATCCCGTTTGTGTGCTTCAGTATATAACACTTACTAATTAGGCAGTGCCAAACAGAGATGAAAACAAAGAGATGTACACAACAACCTAAACTTTTCATTCTATTCCTGGTGGCGCACAGAAAGATATACCATCAGAAAGAACACCTGAAAGTGTGCATGTTGCCTATATTGGAAAAAAACAAAATAAAATTCTGCTTGAAAAAATGCTAGTTATTCTAGCTGGATAGAATATACTTCCACCATTGCTCAGGAGGATCAGGAAATTGGAAGGCATTAATCCTGCTTTTGATGATAGCAAACAGTAGAAGAGAGATGAGTTTGCAGCATGACATGGGTGCAAAAAACCAAAACCAACACCAAAATGGCAGTACATTTCTCTGCTTCATACCTGAGATGATATAGGTTGAGGAAGTATCCCTCCCTATGCATGCTTAAATTCACTAGATAGTTAGGTTTTTGGAACACAACTTTGAAGAATCGGGGTTAATTAATGGGCAGTGAAAGAGTTTGTTTGGTAGAATTTCCTCAGGATCAATTGTTGTGACAAACCTGACAGTTTGAAAAAAAATAAATGAACTGCATGTTAATTAATTTGATCCAGTGTTCTAGTGAAGGTTAGCCCTATAGCTGTCTACAGTGATTATACCTGGACTATTTCATTCTGGGCATCATTTCATTGGATAAATTAAGAGTTCAGATGAATGCAAAAAGAACGTTTTGATGAGGAAATGCCATGGGCCCTCAAACATTAGTGATATTTGTAGGCTACTCTGCTCAACCAACTGTGGATTTTAATTCCTGTTGGCTCAGCAAGCTTATTTTGGCAGCTGAAGGAGTGGAGCAAAAGTACAGGAGCTGGATACCTAAAATCAAAACTTAGTTGCCATTTAAATATGTTTCTCTCATGTCTGAAGTTCTGCTATCAAATTGGGCCTGCAGAAGGAAGAGCAGCCATTTTGAATCCTGAGATTAGTAGGCAAAGTTGGTTGACTTTCCATATGTATTGTAGTGGAAAACACAACTATTGACAGTTAACTACTTTTGTAAAAAGTTAAATGTATTTTATATTGGGCTGAAAACAAATACTTGTCATACTGTATCTGATACCATATTCAGTTCACTGAATGCTGAACACTGCATTTAAATAAACCTGAAAAAACTAGAATTGTAGATTTCACTGCTAGAAATATTTTTTTTGTGTGCAGTAACTTTGGGATCTTAACTGAAGCAGTGGCAGGACACTGACAGCGTTTGTCCCACTGCTTTATCTGTGACAGGTTAGGGTGCTTTTGGTGTGCTTGGGCAGTAATGTGTTGTAGTTATGCAACAGGATTAATTATGTAGTTTTAGGAATAGGTTAGACAAGGACTTGTATGGGATAGTTTGGATAGGGATGATCCTGCCTCAAACAGGTAGCTAGACTAGATGACTTCAGGAGGTCCCTTCCAGCCCTCATTTTCTGTGACTTTATGATCTTATGATTTTAAGTAGGAAGAATAATGAAGTGTAACTGATTGATTGTTGCCTGGGACAAATCTAGTTTCCCATAGATTTTGCTGGCTAGTCTTGTATGTGAATTTTTGGTTGTCCATAAGACGGATTTTGCAGGAAGGCAGACTCCTGATTTTTATTTCTAAAAACGGAATTATCCCAATCACTCTGCATTTACATGATGTGATGTCAAAGATTTTTCTACAGTCAAGTAACAGCTACGGGACTCATTTAAATTAATTATTGTGTATTCAGTGAAATTGAGATGGATTTATGGTAGACAGGCAGTTGTCATCCATTATTCAGAAGAAACTGAAATACAGGATTAATTTAGGAAGGGAAATTACAGGTCTCAGACGCTGTTCCGGAGCCTAAACTTGAAGACTGAGGTATAGACATAGCCTGACATCTAAATATTCCTGTATGATCCAGTTTTGTTTTGTTTGTGTTAGTTTAAGTGACAATTTGTTGTGTTTTTTAACATTTTGTTCTTTCATTGTTCCAAATACTATTATGTATGTTTATTCTATACTCTGCAATTTGGTATTGTTTCATAATGGGGGGGATGTGTAATTCTTGCTTTGGCTCACGGGTAGATTTCATTCAGTAATTGCTTCAGACAGATGCTGTCTTCTGTTTACAAAGTGTTTTGTCATTTGAGTCCAGTCCTGCTCTCAGTAAAGACAGCTTGCTATTGATGGCAGTGGGTGGCTACAGGACATTGGTGAAATTTATATATGATCTCAGTGCCCAGAATGCACTGTACTTCTTGGTCTGCTAAAAAACTTTAAGTACTACTTGACCTCTATTTTACTGCTACATTCTGTTGTGAAATTTGAGTATTTGGCGATTTATGAAAAGCACTAAATGATGCACTCGGGGACCATATCAACTTCAGAATTGTGATTAATAGAGAAAAGCTTGAAGAAAGCAAAAACCCCCAACTTGATTTATTTAAAACAAGTTATCATATTTAAGCCAGTCTCTTAACCTTTTGAGCCCTGACATGAGATTCAAACACTGAGACTTTCAGTGTTACAGTAGAAGATGCTGTTGGTTGATCTGTTCCTTAAAATAGTCTAAAACAGATTGAATCATTGAATGCAAAGTCTCTCCAGCTCCGGCTCTCTAAGGGAGTGTGTGATCAATTGTATGAACAGAACAACCCACAGTTTTATCAAACATGAGCCAAACTAGTGAGTCCTTTGGATTAATGCTCTGTAGCAGGCATGTCAAAAGCCTAGATTTGATTCCCGTTTTCACCCTCCAGCTGCTTTTTTGCTCAGTCTCTGGAGTGCTGGGATCTTCAGCCTTGGTCTAAGCACTTGTGGTCATGCACTTGTTTAACTTTGAGCATATAAGTATTTCCTCTGACTTAAATGAATACTCTCAAAGTTAAACATGTGGCTTAGTACTTGGTAGGTTGGGTTCAGACTAGAGAGCTCAGTGAAGACTTTGCAGGATTCAGCTTCTAGCTGGTAGCACTATTTCATAATGATATCTCTGAACAATCTAGGAGTACCATTCTTGATGCCCAGAAGTACACTCACCAATATTATTTTTGCTGATTTTTGCCACAGTGTAGGACTTACAGGAAGCTGGAATTTAGAGGTTATGGGAAGAAAGGGAGGGCAAGAGAAAACAGTGAAAAATGAATCTTTCCATGTTCTTTTAACAACACTTTTATCTTTTTGAAAAGAGAACACACATTGGTATTAAACTTAACAGAGAAAGTGACTGGTTGAGTGAGATGGGTTATCCTGTCAGTATGATGTGAAGAAAATAGTGACTTAGTGCACCACAAACCACTTTGTAATCTTGAATGTGGTAACAGTAAAGGTATTGACATAAAGCTTTTTTTATTTGCTCTTGCAATGATAACAAATTTTACTTGAGCGTCTTTTTGATAGTAGTAGGGGTGCTGAAAATGAAGTGCATTGTCATTTCATCTTAATTCCCATAGCGTCCTTGTAAGCTAAGTGTATTTAGTAGGTTTTTTGTATTGCTCTCTTCATTGTTGTTTTGAGTGTTTTCAAGGTGCCATTTCTGAATTGAAGTCCTTAAGATCCACTGCATCATTTTATAATGGGTGTGATGCTTTGCCAGTCTTTTTCATGAATTAACAATAGGGCAATTGGAAACAAAATGGTAGGAACCCAGTTGCCTGTTGTAAAAAGACTAATTTCAACAAGGCACAGCTGTGATACTTAGTAGTGAAATCCTGCGTGGATTTGCTACAGGCTGTAGTTCATCACTTGCTAACACCCACATTGTGTTGAGATGGGAAATAGCATAAATAGGGACCTACCAAATTTGTGATTTTGTGATTTTCGTGGATACTGCAAATCTGATATGTCCCTCGTGAAAAGCCTGGTCCCCATGAAAAAGCTGGAAAACAGTCAGCAAGTGGTGTAGAGTGGGTGGGAGGTAGCTGAAAACATGGATGGGAAGCCGTGGTGTCTTGAAGCACAGAGGGGAGGGCAAGTGGGGGAGATTCTTGTGGTAGAGCATAGTGGGTCCTCCCACACCTCCTGGCTGAGGGGCCCTGGAATCCTGCCTGTCCCCCAAAATTGACAGATGGCCATCTGTCAATCTCCAAGGAGGGGTGGGAGGGTGTTCCACAACTCTGATTGGCTGGTGGGCCCCAGAAAGCCCACCCTTCCTTGGAGATTGACAGATAGGCATTTTACTTTGCCACAAAAATGGCAACCAGCGTCCCTAGGCAGAACTCAGC